CACACACACACAAACAGAGCTTACACAGTGTGTGATTTTTTCCACAGAAAATGGAATTTTGAGTGAATCTTTGCAAACTAAAAAATGTCAGCAAGAAATGGTTTGTAATCAACCCACTTAGAAATGCAGCACATGTGGTTCCTTGGTGACAATCACTTTTTTTTCCATGCTCATCTCTCTCTCATTGCATAGCAGTTTCCTACCCTGTCACTTGGTGGTGACACATAAGTGTGGCTGATTATGTCACACAGCATAAAGAACCTGTCTGATTCTGGAGCCTGGGCAATATAGGAGAAAAGGGGCACAAACCACACAGTCTACTGCAGCCATCACATCATTCAAAAGCAAAATGGACACAGTTGGTTTTCAAGCATGGTGTTTGCATTTGAAAAATTTTAGTTTTCCTTGGTGAGAACACTTCTCTTGAAAAAAAAAATATAGAAACTGGTTTTGACTGAAAACACTTTTGATTGTTAAAAGTATTTTGGTAAACCCCATTGAATAATTTTCTAATGTTTAGCCAAAGTTTCAAATCTCAGTGTCTAAAATTTGTTTTCTAGGTTGGTAACCAGGCACACAAACTAGTGGTCTGATTTTTCCCAAAAGTATGTTGAACATCCTGTGTCTCTAGTTTCTGCTGAGTGAAGTGCCGAGTGATTAGCAATTCTGAATTACCAGGCCTAGAGCCAAACTTTTGAAATCTGAACATCTAAAATTAGGTAGCTACAGTCTGATCCAAAGCCTGGTAAACTGGATGGAAAGGCCACCACTGAACTTTTGGTTCTGGGTGAGGCTAATTAATCTATACTTAGATGCCAGAATGAAAATTGCCTTGTTCAGGTCATGTCAAAGTCATGACCAACTACCATTTCTGTTGCCATTGGCACTTCTATACAAAGTGCCTTTAATAAAGGAGGTGGGATGGGAGAGGGAACAGGGTAAGTGTAGTGTCACCTTGGCAATCCTCTCCATGAGAAGGTACTGTGCTGCATTCATCTCCTGTGCACACTATGTGTAAAACTTCTAGCAGGTCAAATGTTGATATACATACATATATATGTATGAATATATATATATATATACATACACACACATATATTTGAAAACAAAAAATAGCTTGTGATATAAAGGAGAGCTTACATAATAAATACTTTTCATGGTACATCATTCATAATGCATTAGGGGCCAGAAAGCATGGATAGATGTCCACATCTTAAAACAGGTATGGGTTAATTAAAATGATGTAAAGTATGTGAATGTATAGAACTGAAAGGAGTGGCTGATACACCAGAGAGTTATCCTGTTCAACAGGCTGAAGAAATGAGACAACAGGAACCTCATGAAGTTCAACAGAGGGAAGTGCCAAGTTCTGTCCCTGGAGAGAAATAACCCCAGACACCAGATCAGGCTGGGGCCAACCAGCTGGAAAGCAGCTCTGCAGAGGACCTGGGGCTCATTGTGGACACCAGCAATGGGCCCTTGTGGCAGAAACCAAACAGCATCCTGGACTACATCAGTCAGAACATTGCCAGCAGACTGAGGGAGATGATCTTTTCCCTCTGCTCAGCACTGGTAAAACACATCTGGAATGCTGTGTCTAGTGCTGGGCTTCCCAGTACAAGAGAGATGTGGACATACTGGAGAGAGTCCAGCAAAGGGCCATGAAGACGATGAAGAAACTGGAGCATCTGACGTGAGAAAAAGCTGAGGGAGCTGGGACTGTTCAGCCCCAGTATGTCACCTCCCCCCATCTACTGACTCAGGGGGATCTTATCAAGGTATGTAAATACCTGATGGGAGGGAATGAAGAAGACAGAGCCAGACTCTTCTCAGTGGTGCCCAGTAACAAGCGGTAGTGGGCAAAAACTGAAATACACAAATTACATTTAAATATTACAAAAAGCTTTTTTAATGTGACGGTGGTCAAGCACTGAAAGAGTTTGCCCAGGGAAGCTGTTAAACTTAGCACAGCTGCTTACTCTAAAGTATACTTTTAATACATTTTTTTGCCTAAAATAATTTTGCTGATAAACTAAAGATAAGTCACTGTTAGCCCAGAAGTCCTCTGGTGTTCTTGGTCTCCCTTACACTGAAAAGGACTGGAGAATTCTGGTAACATACATCATCAGAGAGCCACCTGTCCTCCAGGGCTTCTTTGCCAAGCAGGAAGATAACGGAACGAGTTTGAGACTCAAGGGTTACACCAAACATCCATATTTTGTCCCTCAAACCGGGAAATTTTGTCTGTATATGTGTATTTGCCTGATGCTCTTTGACACTAATGTCAAACAACATCTGGCACTAGCTGTTAAATTGCCTTTTTCTTCAGTTTTCAGAAAATGACTGAGGAAAATAACTTATCTCATTCAAAATCTGCTTTAAAATTATAAAAGCCCGAAAATAAAACCACTTAGACTGGTGTTTTCACTTCAGCTAGCACACTAGCAACTTGTTTGGGGTGCTTTACCTTAATCGTGTTGTCAAAGTTAGATGATCGTCTACTCTCAAAAAAACTGATGGCTAAAAGTTGTGCGTGGCCCAAACGCTCCAGAATATTTTCTGTTTTTCCCAAGCACAAACACAAGCTGGGTGGAGAATGGATTGAGAGCAGCTCTGAGAAGGACTTGCAGGTGTTGGTTGACAAGAAGCTCAATATGACCTGGCAATATACACTTTCAGCCCAGAAAGCCAATCGCATCTGGGACTGCATCAAGAGAAGTGTGGCCAGCAGGTCAGGGGATGTGATTCTCCCCCTCTACTCCACTCTCATGAGGCCCCACCTGGAGTGCTGTGTTCAGCTTTGGGGCCCTCAACATAAGAAAGACTTGGACCTGCTCAAGAGGGTCCAGAGGAGGCCACGAAGATGACTGGGGAGCTGGAGCACCTCTCTGATGAGGACAGGCTGAGACAGTTGGGGTTATTCAGCCTGGAGAAGAGAAGGGTCCAGGGAGACCTTATAGCGACCTTCCAGTACTTAAAGGGGGCTACAGGAAAGATGGAGATGGACTCTATCAGGGAGTGTAGTGATAGGACAAGGGGTAATGGTTTTAAACTGAAAGAGAGTAGATTTAGATTAGATATAAGGAAGAAATTCTTTCCTGTGAAGGTGGTGAGACACTGGCACAGGTTGCCCAGAGAAGCTGTGGCTGCCCCCTCCCTGGCAGTGTTCAAGGCCAGGTTGGACGGGGCTTTGAGCAACCTGGGCTAGGGGAAGGTGTCCCTGCACATGGCAGGGGGTTGGAACCAGATGATCTTTAAGATCCCTTCCAACTCAAACCATTCTATGATCCTGTGATTCTTCCTATCTGAGAAATACAAGGATCAATTTGAGTTGTTGCTGAACCATTTATGGTTCAGGTAGTGAACCCACATCACTATTTTTCCCATTGCTAGCCTCAGATGAGCCCAAACATGTCAATTTGCTCATGATGTCATGGCTCTCCCTGGGCAGTAGCCACATGCTCTGGGACTGGCAGAAAAGTCTCAGCCCTGCCAGGTGGGACTGGCACATAGTTATGAGGTCCCCCGTGAAAGCCGTGATGCATGACAGACTCTGAAAATCTGTTTTCAAGTCACAAGGAAAGATCTGATAATGCTGGATGAAGACACCATGTTCAGCTGGGGTAGGGAGTCACAGCTGGTGAAAGATGAGAGTCTTTCATACTGAATTATCAAGTATTCACTGTATTTAAAAATAGATTTTTCCATGTCCTTCTCCAGCCACTGCTATACTTCTCAGACAAGCTTATGAACACAAACCAACCATATAAATTCGTGAAAATACAGCAGCATCTGGTGCAAGGTGGGATGCAGAGAAAGACTGCATCCACTGCTGGCAAAATTTCATTTCAGTGTCTCAGTTTTCTTGCAAAAAATTTGCCATCCCTGGAAATGCTAGAAGGAGGTTTGCTCAGTTGCAGCCAAGAGTAAACAAGAGGTGATTTTTATAATTGCATTGGAGTGGGGATTTCTTAAATGGGAGGATGAGTGTCACCAGCTGCAGTGGGGTTGGCTGTCAATCTGGATGGACAATACAAGTGACACAGAGCAACAGGTCATTTACTGGCAATCCTTAGGCAACACACACATTTAACATGTGGTGCTACCACAACGTTTGCTGTCTTTCCTTAAATCCCAGGCCCGAGTCCCAGCTGTCACGACCAGCACTGCTCTGCCTAACCATACAGTGGGTAACTCGCAGCACAGCTCCGCGATCTTGCCCATTCCTTGCAGGTTCTTGAAGGACAAGGAAACCTGTATCAACAGTGTGACACACATCTAACTGCCTTCCTACAGAGAGCTGTACTTTGTAAAAGATGCTGAAGCTATTAAAATAACAGATGGAGAATGCCTAGGAGGAGTTTAATTACTGATTTCACAGACCCAGGGACTGTTGGCTCTTCAAGATGGCTCAAGATTTTTTAGCAGGTAATGACACCATCACAGCAACGCAGACACACTCACACCTCGTCCTGCTGAGGCTGAATGTGGCTGTGCTGCGGTGCCTGGCATGCCACAGCGGGCCCCGAGGGACCGCTACCCCGGGCAAGACTTGCAGCAGGGCTGGGGCGCCAGCGGGCACCAACACCTGCGACTGACCCAGGCTTGTCCCTCCAGGCTCTTCTCCAAGTATAGCTTGGCCAAAAATAGGACCCTGGGAATCCCTGCCTGAAATTCAGCTTCAGAAAATGCCATTATTGACAACACCCTAGTGGGACAGAAGTTCTCTTTGAAGTCCACATACACAGGCACCAATGGTGTAAGTTACTCTGGACAGAGAAGTGACCCAAACAGCTCATTCTTGTGGCTACACATCTGTCAAGCTGTAGGATTTCCACTCTACACCATTTAAAAAAACCCAGAAATCAAAACCCAAACAAAAATGCAGGTGGAAGGAATAAGCGAACCACCAGACTGGCACAGCACACTGTACCACAGTTATCAGCAGGTCTCGAACAGCAGTCGGGCCAGGAGAGGGATAAGGAATGCTACAAGAAATCGTTTTACATGTTCTTTATTTAAGTGAAACGATCAAGTGGAAGTAGAGGTTTCACATTCCTTTCTGCTAAGCGAGCTTGTGCCTCTTACACTGGTTAATACAGATGGTTACATTGCATACTGCAGTTTTATACCCTCGAGAACCTAACACCGACCCCAAACAAGCTGGCATGGTGGACGGGGGCTACAGCATTCACAGTAACTACCAAAGGAGACAGCCACATTGAACAGTTCCTAAGGACCTTGCATTTTACATTTTACAGCTGGATCACTGCAGAATAGACCATCACAGACCCATCACAAACATTAGTACAGGCAACAGATGAGAGAGTAAAAAAAGATTCATGACATCCTCAACTGACTGAAAGCTAATCACAGAGGTGTGCTGTCAGTGCTACTTATGTCTGCTGAGATACACACTTAAATCACCTCTCAGAGTTTCTGATTGTCTTTTAATCCTGATAAGACTTCACAAGGAGCCACATGAGCAATACAGTAATCAGGACAATCATGAAGTTGAGGAAAAGTTCTTGTGTGGATCGCTCCATTTTTCGGCACTAATCAAGGGAGAGCAGCAGTCAGCAGGCAGAGCAAAGGGAAAACTTCAGTGATTTGCCTGGGAGCGTCCTTGAGCTCAACTTCAGGTCACGGACTCTTAAGGAAAAAGAAAAATATGTGAAGAACAGATGCATGAAGGTGGCAGGTTCAACAGAGCTATTTATATCAGTGTAAATAAATGTTGTTTCAGTGGCTAGAAGTTAATAAGCACTGGGGACGCTAAAAAATAAAAGCTATCTCTGGCAGCTTATCACCTTCTTTGATTTCCAGCATTTGAAAAGGTGCATTCTCAGTGTCACCCCAAAACATACTGCACAGGGGTGAGCAGTCCATGGAAATTAGTGCTGCCTTGTATAAGCATTTTCAAATAGTGCCCAAGCCCCATTTACTACTTTCAACAGACATACATTGTAAATATACAACTGTTTAGAGTTCTTTAAATCCCTGTATTTGTTTGAATATTTTCATTTTTTAAGAAACTAGGTGCAAACTATTCTTTTATAAAGACAGACTTATAAATCTGAATTAATTATGTTCCCACTAAAAGTACAAGGAGAACCTAGGATTAGATGTTTTCATTTCTGAAGAACTTCATAAATTTTGTGAGTTAATCCTATGGATGAGATAGTATTCTCTCAAGAACCTTCTGACCTTCCTGCACTTTCAGGCTGCTATACACCTCTTCAGAAATCCCATTCAAGTTGTATTCAAAAACTTTTCTGTTGATTATTTGGTTTATTTATTTTATTGCAGCAAGTTTTGAATTTTATATGGTTTTGGAGCTCATGCAGAGAAATGAAAATACTTTATCAGGAGTATCATGCACTAATCCCATCTGTATGTCACATAAATAAAATAAAAATATCTTTAAACAAATGAGGCATAAACTCTAGACAAATAATTTCAGCCACACAACCACAATCTCAGCAGATAAACCAGATCAGGCTGTAACATCTATGGTGCAAACAAGAGAAGCCCTGGGACCATACCAGCATGAAGACAGAGAGTTTAAATAGAGGCTGTTTTAGTTTGCAGATTAAATATTAAAAGCCCCATGCATGTAGTTAAAAAATTCCTACATTCCTAAGTTGTTTTGCCAGCCTGTTATATTCTTGGACAAGAGAAAATCTGACAATAAGTAAGCCAAGTTTTTTTACCTTGAGGAGGTAAATGGAGTCCAGTGGTTCTGTGTCTGAACTTTGGGTCACTGCAGATATTGTTTCCCTCCAAGCTTCTGCCTATCTCCCGCTCGGTCTGGATGCCCCGTCCGTGTGTAGGAACTGAAGTAGGCTGAGGGAGGAGAGCAACAAGTGCATTGGCAACCCAAGTGCTGACATCACCCCCAAAATATTTTAAAAGGGCTAAGCTGGGCTGTGGGATTTGGGTTGGGTTGTTTATGCAGTGGGCTTTGTGGGCAGATTTGCTTCTTTTAGTTCTTCTGACGTGGTGCTGTGCTAAGAGCAGAGCTGTGCACAGCCCTTGAGAGTCAATGAGATTTGACAGAGAATTTCTTTTGGCTCATTGGTGTCTTCCCTGATGTGGGAAAAAGAAAAGGAAAGAAAGATCCACTTGCTGAAGTTTCTGTGAAGAATTCAGGATCTCTCAAGATCATTTCCAGGATATAGAGACATGTCTACATATTTACCTTCTTAAGTACAGTACACCTGCTGCTGTCCTATATACCTATAGTCTCCACAGCTTCTCAAGTTCATATGGATTTAAAAGAAAGTGAGCAAGAGCAAAATACTCTTTGCATTTAAACACAAACTACTGAAACCCAGAAAAGTTTGTGACTAGGAGGTCTGAAAAGCACAGTCCATTGCTTTAAAGAGCCACTAATTCACCTGCATGCGCTTCCCTCGCTGATTTTCAACGCTGATGTTAACGCTTCATCTGCCTGAGCATACAGAGAAGTATTTCTGCCATCCTGCAGCATTGCTTCCCAGAAAGCACACTGCTCTATGGCCTAGATAGCTGTGATTCCCACATCACCCTATCTTTGCCCAAGGCACTGCTAGAATTTGCTATGTATGTGAACAAAAACATATGGCTATTTGTTTCCTTTAAATCAATATAGCTGAAAGAGAGTCTCAGCAGAGTGGGCTGGACTGAACTTGGAGCAGACTCTGCCAGCCCTGCACTGCTGTGGGTTTCCCCCCGCTCAGAGCCTTCACTTCAGATGAATGATATGAGTATTTCCACTGAAGTCAGAGGGGTCACTTCTGCAACGGTGTTGCCAGATGAGCATGAGGATCCTGATCAGGTTTAAGTGTGTAAGGTTATCCACAACGCTGGCCTTATTCTCACTGCCAAACACCACATGATATATAGCATGCAGATTATTTATTGATTCTGATGCCTTTTGTATATTTATATTTGAGCATGCTGGGAGGTACTGTAGCTCAGAGTATCCAAGGTTGCTGTGACAGTTCCCTTCCATCAGCTCCCAGGTTTCTCCCTTTGCACCAGTGCTAGCACTCACATCACAGTGCGATGCCCCCGGTGAGGGTGCCCAACTGGCTGGAAACCAAACCAATGAAAAACACAACAAAACAAAAAGCTGTGGGTAACCAGGGGTGGGGAGGGGAGGGCTCCTTGGGTTTTGCTGGATAATCTCTCTAAATAGTCTTCCCACAAAATCACTGAAGGTAGGAGGGGGACCAGAACTCTTGAAATCTTCCCCTTCATTAGCTTCACTGTCCTCCTAGAAACCCAGGCAGCATGTTCACAAAAGCCAACATGCTGCGTGGGAGTCCTGTGCTAAAATATACAGATGAAAGAGCAAAGGCTTAACTGATGCCTCATTCAGGGGTTAGGTGGCTAAGTAGGCTTGCAGGGTCCTATTGCAATGCATGCTCTGCTGGGTTGTGCCACCAAAGCTTGTCCTCACAAGGAAAACTTGGGCAAACCTGTACCATGCTTACAGGGGATTTGGGAAATACAGATTGAAAATGCTCCCCCTTAGGCCGAGGGAAGCAGGGTGTGTGTCTGCCATGAACCTGCCCTAAGACATTCCTTTCCCAGTCATGTTCTGAAGCAGAAATCTCCGGATTTCTCATGCAATGGCTATGGATCACATAAATATCCACTAGGAAAAGGGTGAAACCTTTGAGTACCATTGATTCTCATTATTAAATGTTGCACATCAGTGCCCAAATATTCCCCCTGGGCTATGCATCTTACAGATCTTGGGGTTTATTTTACTCTCTGCCAACAGAAGACTCAAAAAAAGTCTTTCTTGAACTAGAACCCCTCAGGTCTGGTCCCCAGGCCTGTATCTGCACTTCCACACTGGCAGGGAGCCCCTTCATGCTCTGTCCCTGTTCACCTCCTTCTTCTTGGACTTTGTCCATGATAGCTGGAAAACTTCCCTTCTTCAAAGTAGGAAAACCATGGTATAAATGTCATTAATCACCACACATGATGAACACTCTAACTCCTCTCTGCAGGCACAAATGCTTCCCTGATTTTTTGTGCTGAGGATCTTACAGGAGACCATGGATCACAAGAATTCATTAGTGGACCAGAACAAAGGTTCATCTAACCCAACATACTGACTGGTAGGGAAATCTGGGGAAAGCATACAGAAACACAGCAAATGTAACATGATCTTTGCTGAATATCCTCAAGCTTCTGGGATTCAGCCTATTGGGATTGCAAAATTGAGCCTACAAACAGGATTGGGTTTATGATTCCCTCTTGCTCGTACTGTCAGGGTGTCCCTTCAACACAAAGGTCTGATCTGCAGCTGTGATGGCTCATTCCATGAACAGTTCTAGACCAGACAACTTGGTCATGGTTGAGCTTCTCTATACAATAACCTACATACTTTCAGCATTACAAAAGTGAAATAGCAAAACCAAGTATTCCATATAGCAGAGAAAGTAACTTTCATCAACCTATCAGTAATTTGAAGGCAGCTCATTTGCTAGAACTGAGACCAACTAGCTAAGAAACACTATTTGATTGACAGAGTTAGTCCCTAGTAACTTTAGAAGAGCCAAAGTATGTTACATTTACTTTTAATGTCATCTGACAGAATGTTCCTATATATATTTTTACATATATATACAGATATATACACACACACATATACACACAGAGAGAGCAACTTGTGAAAAAAAAAAAGGACTTAACACTGAGCAGGGAGTCCAATAAACACGCCTGAGCTGTGGAATGTGCCTGGATGTTAACTGTAAATCCAACCAGTGTCTGAATATCTGACTTCAATATGCCATAGATCAGAATCTGCAGTTGCCAGAGGCTGAAACCTCTGTCCCACCCCAACAAACCATACTCCTGCTGTTTATGAACAAAAAGCCCAAAGACCTTAAAGGCCATATCTTTAAAAGGATGGTTTATTTAACCAAGTGATATAATACTGATTAGGAAAGTAGAAGGAAGATAAATATGAGAATTAACTAAATGATTTTACTTTAAATGCTAACCCAAAGGTTTAGATACCATGCGGAATAATTTTCTTGTTGGCACTTTTATTTTTTTCTTCTTTTTCTGACAGATCTGGATGTTCTCAGCTTTCACGTGGCCCATGCCAAAGCTCCCTCTTCATGCCTCACATACTCAAACTTAAGGCTCTGGTCTATATTTAAAGTTGCTGTGACTATCTCAAGTTCTTCCCAGCCTGCTAATCAAGTAGCACATAATCTTTCAAAGCCATTCTTACATAGAGCAGATGATTGTATTCATTTTTGCTCTCATTATTAACTTTCTCAGTAAGTGTAGTATATATATATTTTTTTTTAATCTGCTAATAATTGGTTCATTTTTAAACTGGCAGCTATGCTCTAGTGTAATCACAAGTATCTTTCTTAGCAGGCTCACCTGAAGCACTGATGTCTTATCTGTATGTTCTCAAGTTTGCAGCAACATACTGTACTTGTAATCACAGTATGTCACACATAACTAACACATCTCTTTATGGGAACTGAAGACAAACATCATTTAATACTGCTCAATTGATCTTAAATCCGATTATTTACAGGACTTCTAAACAGACACCACCACTCCACAAAAAGCTGAAGATGTACAAAGGATCCTACCTGGCAGGAAGATGTGAGACCTGTGGGTCTCAGCACAATGTCTGTGTGACTACAGCACAGAGCCTCCTGCAGAATCAGTCAGCATAGGCTCCCTTAAAAGACTTAGTGAAGGAAAACCAGGCACTTAATACATGCAAGTCAGCTTATTGTAGATGTCTGCTGTAGGGTCAGCCTCTCTAAACTCCACAGATCTTACTGACTACCTCCAAAGGAAGTTTCGGGGTGCTAGGAAGGCTGGACCCAGCCAGATAGTAGAGGTCTATATTTATAGCAGATGAACCTACCTGAGTTCCCAAGAACAGGATTCATACCAGCCACATGGTTAGTAGGCAGCTGATGGAGTTAGCTGATAGAGGATACTACAGATCAAAGCAAGTCTCAAATGCCGTCATCATTTCAGAGACAGGTACCTTTCCTGGGGCTGCAGAAAGACACCAGTCTACTTAGACACAAGTGATTTTAGTCTTCTCTCTAAGTTAAGTCTTTTAGCCTTTTATTTTGAAAGCTAAAAGGGTTGGCACTGTTGAGTTCCTTCCTCATTGTAAAGACTCTTCATCCTTTAAAGCCAACAGTGCAGTGTCCTTGCCCAGAGATGCCATGTATTATTCCTATGTAAAACTGTCTATCCAGCAGATCATCAGAGTCTGACAGACAGTTTGTACTACATTTACAATAGCATCAGGACGTCCTTTGGGGCTTACAGAAGAGTAAAACAAAACTGAGGGTCCCCAAGTGGGCAGGGACATCAGATCAGCAGAAGCAAAGGAGATATCATTAGATATTCAGAGTGCCCAGTCACAGAAGTAGTTACTAACTGCATTTGCATACACCTCACCATCTACAGCAAACTAGATGCTTTGAATAAATCCTCGGATTTATTCAATAAATCTGTGAATAAAGCCACAGGCATTGTTTCTTCAAACCACAGCAAACTATACTTCCACTTCCCTGGCAGGACCACTGTGATAGACACACATGGGATGTGAAGATCTGGATGTAGTTCTGCTCTCCCTTGGGGCAGATGGGAAAAGGACTGCACAGTAACAGAGGCACAAGGGAGAGAGCAAACTGCCTGCCACTGCTGGTGTTTTATGTTTTAAGCAGCTACAGTCATTTAAAAAAATGTAAGTGCCTATGGATAGTGTCTCCCGTATGAGATATCAGCACGGTGAGGATCTTAAGGACTTACATTCTGGATGTGGAGAGCAGGAGTCT